ATACAATACAATACTAAGCAAGTAAAAGTGTTGTAGCAAAATCTTATTCAATTTACAGTTATTTGCATTTAGAATAAAATATGCGATTTCATTCAATGCTTTGTTTTAAACGCGCCCACTTTGTATATTAAAATAATTGTCCACAAGTTAGCATATATGCTGTGTTTGTTACATGTTGTAATACGGATTCAATTACGAAGAAAAATGCCTAAATTCAGCAAGTCTCTCTGGTGAAGAATTAAACAGTAATTTAACTTAATATTTGAATTTTAAACGTTGCACGTAATGAATAATAATGGAACTTAACAGTCACATACAGCTTCCGATAGGTATAGCAATGAGCAATTTTAAAGCTTTCTCGCAGAGACTTAATGTAGGTCAATCTTAAAACGCGTAGGTTTACATACGTGATCAAATCTATCAGATTGGCATTTAAGTATTAAGTATGCTGGGACAACCTAAACCACATACGTCCCCCAACTATATTGACCAATGTTAAAGTCTGCATATACTCATTCTATACGTACAGTATGTTTGTATGCAATTTGCTAGTGCGCACCATTATTTTATTACACGTGTTCTTTAGGGAGAAATGTGACTATTCAACGAAAAATCCCTGTCATACACGTATGTCAGTGTTTCGTTGTAAGCATAGTGAATGAGCATAACCGTACCACATTACACAATGAACGAACAGAATTTGGTCTCCTATCGAGTGGACTTTATTCAGAGTCAAAAGTGAATGTTCAGAACATAGCTTTATTTTAGTTAATCGAAAAATAACAAGTCGATGTAAACAGATCATATTAGAAGATAGAGTAAATGGCTAATCTTGTTTATGTAATTTCAACTTGTTTGAACGGTGACGTTTTACTGCAGATGATGTTAAATTGCTGGCACACGAAGTAATCTTTATAAGAGAAACAAGCCTTATAAACTCTAATAGAATTCGATGTGTACAATAACGAGCTTCGAACAGAAGACAGTCGTCTTGTGATGTCAACCACAGTGGTTTTTAATGTGCCGATGCTGTCCAAAACTGTCACCAATAGCTGCTAAAGATCAAAATTGCCAAATTATCAAGATATAGTACTTTCAAATATTGAAGACTCATTGTCCTCTAGATGTTTTTTCTTTAACATTTCAAAGCAATGTTATAGTAAAATAATGTTTCTAATTACGTTATAATGACTAATTTCTTATATTGTACAAAACGTTAACACTATGATAGACTTTTAACAATATTCTGCATCTATTTGGTCTCTTATCTACTGATCAATGTTGGCTAAAAGTAATACGGCTATATTAACTAGTTCATGCACAAATTTGTCAGCAGATATTTAATGTATGCATCTGTGCAACGAATATGTTGCATTCAACTAATATCAGTATATTTATGAGCAAACATATCTCTTTCATTGAGTCAAAACATATAGAAGAAAGAAAGGACGTAGCGTACGCGTAAACAAATTAAATTTCATATCGCTTATGTTTTGACCTGGTAACGACAATATTTGGTAATACTGTATAAGTACACGTTCTGAAGTCAGCATTGTGTGCACTACAGAAAACCAGAAAATAAATGTTACACGGAATAGTAATTAGTGTTTTCCAATCACTTGAAACTGTCCGCCTCCAAAGCGTGCAAGTTCATGTTCTGGACATATACATGCTCTCATATCTCTTTGTACCTGGATAACTGACTCCAAAATATTTCGCACTCCACGTCTCCAACTTTTTTCGACTTGAATCTCAAAGTGAGTCTTTGTAGGTACTAATAAAAGGACATAGACTGATAGTGCGACAATTATCTTGTATTGTGACGCATATTCTGTTTGACTGAATTTTTGGTCAGATTCTTATGTCCATGTTATTTCATAATACAGTCAACTCTGTAAGGACCTTTTCCTATGACCACCTGTGCTTTGCCATTTCCAACCACTGTTAAAACTAGCTGCTTATAACGACCAGATATAGGATGTCTCGATATAAAGATCGTATTAATTGGTTAAATAAGTGTATCATATACATTATTGTGAATCACTTATCGTTATTTACACTTCTCGCGTACGCGAATGCCAATAATAATAAATAAACCTGTCAGGATAAACAAATATCAGTCTTCTGCATAATTTACTGACTGACTATTTATCACAGTCGCACCTTCATAAGTGCCGGACAATCAACTCTCTTTATAAAGACCACTTCGGGCAAAGCGAAATCGGTTTTTATAACCAGCGGTCCTTACATAGAGAATACTTGATAGAGAATTAGGGGTGGTGAACTGTAGTATCGGCAACGCGGTGGAGAAACTAAGTACTTGTATAAGTAGTTATAGATTTAAATTCTATAGAACAAAAATGCAATGAGCAGATAAATCAATACAGTAGAATATGGGATAAGACATTCTAATCGACATGATTCTTTATTCTAACTTTACACGACATGTTTTACTTAGTTATAGAATGTTGACCGATACCCGAGTTAGAGATATTGTAAATAAACGTGAATAAGCAAACTGGGAACTCTATAAATTGTTGCAAAACGTACAATTAAAAATTTGACATGTTAAGCTAATATTGAAACTACAGTTAGCCAATATTTTTCAGTTAATATAAGTGTACTAATATACAACATCATTACTATACACGTACACTACCATGTGACATAACATATACAGTACAATAGAATAGTTATTGTTTGTTGCTGTCTATCTTTAGACACATTGACAATTACTGAACAAGTAAAGCAAATTGAGCTTTCCTGACAGCTCGTGAGGTTTGTGGTTCTTGAAATATATGGTTAATTTATTTTTTATTCAACTGTTCTGTCCCCAACAATTTCTTTCTGTCTTGTCTGTTGTTAATTCTTGTTGCTCTGTGACATTTCCAGTAAAGTATTTGCGCTGACTGCAAGTATGAAATACCACAATTAATCTTGTTCGTATGTACAAATTGTCCCTATTGAAATATAAATATCGTATATTAATGCAACAGCAGTCTTGCAATTGTAAACGCATTGGTAACAAAATTTGTCAACAGGAAGCAGTGGTGAGAAATGAGATTATCGTACAGTGATTATAGTAAGTTTCAGTCTACATTCTGCTAATGTAGGAAACACGTCGTGGTATAGGGAGCATATTTCCTTCTCAAACATATCTTTCTGCCACATAATCTGCGTTGAGAAAGATAACAATTATGAGTTGTGTACTCATAGTAAAAATGGAAGGCCATATAGACAGACCAGGGGTTAAATAGAATTTATTCTCGTGTTGTTTATCTAAGGTTGCAACGGAATATAAGGATTGTAACTCATTTATTTCGAGTCTTGTAAAATAGCGTTCAAGGAAGGCTAATCAGAAATCTATAGTACTACGGGTGGAAGAGACATAAATGATAGAGCAGAAATCTCATACAAGAAAATTTTTAATTCGGAGCTAAAGCTTTTTATTATATCGAGCTCTGTACCTAATTCAACTATAAAGTCAAATCCATGCTTGAGGCTAAAAAGACATTATACAGTCGCATGAGCTTCAACAAAAGTCGATGTCATCAAGTGCTAAAAGCGGACAATATGGCGTAATGTTTTACCTCTTACAAACGTTACTTCTTGTATTCACCCGTTATTTACCTGAGAGAGCGTATGTTCTTCCATCAATGATTCTTGGTATGTAGCCGGTATTGATTTCTGAAATAAATGCGCCACATAACAACTCATTTCTTTCTGCTAATGTTCTGTGTTGTGTGTTCATAAAAGGCGACGCTGTCATTCCATTGGTAAATTGTTAATACTTTTTCTACCTCTCGTACATTATACCTCTAAGTGGAATCGGCTATACAGTTCCATTTCCCAAAGTTCCTTGATAACCGGTGTACTCCAGAATAACTTGCGTAAGAGGTTCACCCGCCTGTAATCACGTGTAATTATTGGGACTTTCTATTTACAAAAAAGAAGAAGCCGTAGCTTGATAGAAGTGAATGAATTGCCAGTTTTTTTTCGGTACCATAGGCAAGGTGTCACACAACATTTGTCATAAAAATTACAATCACTATAACAACAAATACCATTTATGTTTGGGAGTCATATCCCATTGATATCTGATCTCGTATCTTGTCCGAAACTTTTTGTTTGTATCTATCTTTGTTCCCCATTGGCGGGTTATAATTGGACCTAAAAAAGATAAAAAACAGTGAAAATCACTATTAGTAAGACGAATACGAGTGCTTTAGCGCAATGTGATGTTGTCTGTGCGTTCTGGGACGATAAGTTGACATTACTTATAGTATAGTCTGTAAGAGGTAGCAATTATCCCATCTCCCGCTTACAAATCATCTGTGCACACTTTATCTGTCCCCCACTTCAATGGTAAATTGTTAGATACGATTGTGCAAAACTTTTATTCAGCTAGTCTGTTACACGGTCATCCTAACGGTTGGGCAATAGAATAGGGGCCTTTAAATAAAATACTCTTGTCACAGCCATTCCGAACACACGTGATTATTGATGCATGACTCGTGTGGCTTAGTATTAGTATTTAGGGAAATGAGCAACAGATCATCATAACAACATAGAGCCAGCCATTGACATAACTGGCTTGGCAACAGGCCATATTACTATTACGTAAATATAAGGGTTGAAAAAAGAGGCTTACTTGCCCGATTAGAAACAATATAAACTCAATATCCATATTCGGCAAGTGTGATTGTCTATCATTAAATCTAGTGTAACGGGGTTTTGAGTAACCCAAGCCCTAGTCCATCTATATAAAATACAATCGTACACGCGAAACAAGATCTTTTTTTCTTTTTCTTCACATAATAATGATTCACATTCATATTACAATCATATTGGTTTTTTTGTTTATTGCTCTACAATTTGATACACATGCTCTTCCGATCGCTGTATATCCACAACCTACTATAACGAAGAGAGAATTGTACGGTTAATTCATCAAACACATATAATAACTATTTTCTATTCGTAGTGTATTATCTAACAAAATGAATATCGTCAATATTTTAGAGATGTACCTGGTTCGACGAGTTTGCCTCCTGGTTCTATTCCCACGTTCAATCCTCCTCCTCCGCCTGCTAATCCTAATGCAACCCCTCCTCCCAGCGCTAATCCACCCCCACCTGGTACGAAACCTCCCAGTCCAAACCCTCCACCCAATTTTCCTCCACCTGGTGACGGCGGTGATGCTACTGATACTCCAGGTCCTACATATTATGGTCCTCCCGTTGCAGTAATCACAATAACAAAAATTTCGACAATGATGTCAACTACCATGCAAGCTGAATCTGTCACGTCGACACTTACTGTTAGGTAGTTATTATTGATTTAGCTGTTGCTTCTAATATAGTGCTTCTTAAATTCTGACCTGATTATCTCTTCTCAGTACCGTTGTGACTGTGACTCCAAATGTTGTTACTAGTTCTGTTAATGCTAGTCCAATGCCTAGCAGTTGGAAAATTGCTATACCCGTCATATCTCTGGTCGGCGTAGGGGCACTTGCTTTATTCTGGTTCGGGAAAAAAAAAGAGTATATCCCTGCGTCTTCACGAGACGATAATAATAATGAGTCACAAGACGGTAATGGGTCACAAAACGGTAATGGGTCACAAAACGAAGGCGATGGTATAACATCCCAGCAGAGCAACGCAGAATATTCCCCAGTCGGAACAACACTCCCAGCGAGCAGCAGTAGGATATCCGGAGATGGAAATGGAGAATAGGCTGGTTAATTGTAGAAGATCCAACCGGAGAAGATTCAGTTGGATATAATGACTAGTAGTAATATTCGCCTTCCTTCTTAGCAAAACTATTAAGAAGTAGCGTAGTTACATCTGTAAATATGATAATGTAGATATATTATTGTTGTATACACTTAGAATCAGGAGGTGGGAGGGGTATTTTGGTATACTTCAGCTTTCATATAGTCTTGATGTTTAAAGACATTGATACAATACACACAAGCCTGAAGTGGCTGGGTTTGTTTTTTTAAAGAGGATAAAGTTTTTGTAAATAAGATGCGTCAACCTTTATATAATTCCAAACTGATCAATGAAATAAAGTTGTTCAATGTATTGAGCGAATAAAGCAATAAGACGACTATGATCCTTAATATTGGGGGTAATATACTATACCTTAAAGAATCATTGCTATGCAAATGAATGTGGGGCTTGGGTGGGTACGGGGCAGTGTGACAGAATGAAATCAAGTCTGAATTAATGTTAACAAAGATAATAAAGTTTTTGTCGTACATCAACCAATTTAAATGTAAGTCTCCCAACAAACAAATAAACTTGCCCCACAATTATTAAAGAAACTGATAGTTGAGCGCTGTGGGTTTCAGTTGTTTGCATTCTTTTTTGTTGCACAAATCTTGTCAGTTGACATGACTATAACATGCTTTTATTTGTAATATTCCTCTATTCTACTTTCTCAAACATCTTACACAGTTCGTTGATATTTCTGCACTTGTACTATAAGGCTTGGCATGCATGTAGCCTTTGTTCTGTCAATAAGGTTTTTTTTTTCAAATGCCGACAATCAAATATGGATAGATTTTCAGAGAATTAAGGGAACCATATACGGAGTTAAATGAATGAAAGCGTGTGACAGTGAGAGTGGTGTCACTCTTTATTGTTAATGTTCGTTTGTTCTCCCTCCATCTCGTTATCACTCAATGAACTTTCGACAGATTATCTCTGATCACCGCATTAATAAGGTTTAGTGTTATTAAATTATGGACAAATTGATATTTTTAATGTTGCGTTTGTGGTTCCATTTTTAGACTTCATTTAATAAAGAAAACCCTATTAGTATGTGAATATTTGATATTCGAATTTAACTTTCTTAATTATTTCTCTCTCCTCACCTTTGTTCGGAATCACTCTGGGTTAGTCTTTCCATCTTGGTGATATGCCTCTGGATGTCGTTCTCGTGGTTCAAGATTAAGTTTCTGGGCTGTCGTGTGGACAGCATCCGATATCTTTTCTTTGACTGTCGTTACTACTGTATGATGAGAATCATCCTTATGTGTTTGATGGTCTTGATCTCTTGACAAACTCTCTTTCAGGAGATCAATGGAACGTTGTGAAAAGTTGTGTGTATTGGAACTCATTTTTTTTTATTATGGCTGACGTTTCGGCCAGCATCCACATTTTATACCGAATGATTTTTATAATGTCATGTGATATACAATTATGAATAATGATGTCATTTTTGGCGAAATATTAACGTCATGCGATCGTATGTTAACCACTGGTAAGAAAGCATTCCTTGGCTTCTGGTTCTATATTTGTACTAGTTACCCATATATCATCACCAGGTGTGCTTTGCCCCTCATACTGTTTCTGTGCGATGATCAGGTTCAACATGTGACAAAAATCTGACCAAGTCGCTGTTGTTTTGCACTTGCGTTGTATGTTACTTGAAGATGGATCCGCAACTAAAGAAAATTTCAAGCAGATACCATGTATTTGAGAACTGGGCTCATACATTCATATGTGAACCAGAGTTATATTTTACGCCCGAGACTGAAGATGAGGTCGAAAAGGTGTGATTTACAAATCTTTTTGCTTCCCCCCATCCTATCCATGTCCTGTACTCATTGAATATTGCAGATGAATGAAACCGTTATTTAACTTGTTAACGTCTAGATTGTAATCTTTGCTAAAGCCAAGAACAAGTCTATCAAGGTTATTGGTGCTGGACATTGTCCATCCGATCTTGCCTGTACAAAGGATTTCATGATCAATCTGGATAAGCTCAATCATGTATTGGAGGTGCTTACTTTACGTTAGTTCAAGGATAATTTCGTATTACTATGTTTAATCAATATTATTATATAAACAAGAAAAAAATTTTTTTTTGTACTTTATAGATCAATCAGAAGGAAAAGACAGTTAGCGTTCAAGCCGGAATAAGAATAAATCAATTAAACGAAGAATTATGGGAGAACGGCCTTGCAATGAGTAATCTCGGTTCTATTTCTGATCAGAGTCTTGCTGGTGCTATCAGCACGGCCACTCATGGGACTGGAATTAATTTTGGCAACATGTCAACGCAGGTAATATTGACGATATACTGCGAATAAAATTGGGACGATCATGCACATTTTCCAGTATTATGACTAGTGTTAATTAGGTTCATCCTTTATCTAGGTGACTGAACTGACATTGATCACGGCAACTAGAGGAACATTGACTTGTTCCGAAAAAACGAATCCCGACATCTTTAAAGCGGCTCTTTGCCATTTGGGTGCTCTTGGTATAATAATACGAATTACTTTAAAATGTGAGCCAGCTTTCAGACTAGAAGCCCTTCAGGCTCCGGCAAAGCTTGATGAAATTCTGAACAATTTGGATCATGTCGTTCATTCCGCTGAACATGTAAGATTCTGGTGGTTTCCTCATACCGACGACTGTGTCTTATGGAAAGCCAACAGAACTATAAAGGTATTTATCATTCTACTCGTTAATATATAGTCTGTTGCGTTACTCGTGCTATGCGTGGTGGGTTTTCCATGCTGTTGTCTGTGTTGTTATTCACGCTATTATGCCAATCAACCCAGGAACCTAACTCATCGACCATTGGCTACATTCGAGAAACCTTACTAGGTTACCACCTCTACCAATTTCTCCTCTACCTGACGCGCCTACGCCCATCGACTATTCCGATGCTTGCACGGCAGATGTTCAAGATCAAGCATTCACGGCCCACTTGCGCCATCGACGATTCGTACAAGGCCTTTAATATCGATTGTCTCTTCCCGCAATATGTCAACGAATGGGCGATACCATGGGAAAAAACTCCAGAGGCACTGAGAAAAATCAATCAGTGGATCAAAGAGACGAATTCGTTTGTACATTTTCCGGTCGAGGTTAGGTTTGTCGATAAAGACGATGTTTGGTTGAGTCCTTCGTATGGATACAAAGTTTGTTATATAGGTATTATAATGTATAGGTGAGTATTTTCCAAGTCTGGATGAATTGAGTGTTTCCACCTGATAAGTAATGTTGCATGATTTCATTATTATAGACCATATAGAGTAGCTGTCCCTTACAAGGAATATTGGAAGGCGTATGAGCAGATTATGAGGTCTTTGGGTGGTCGTCCTCATTGGGCAAAGGTAACGAAACAAATAATAATGACAATAGGATTAATAATGAAATTTTATTGCTATATCGTTGCAGCTGTTTGCTGTTATTAAAAGCTGTTTTACCAACCACAACTCCCCTTCAACAGGCACACACAATGTCGGTGCTAGAGCTTGAGAAGTGTTATCCCAAGTTTAACGATTTTAAGAAACTGAGACAGGAACTGGATCCAAATGGAATGTTTCTCAATGCTTACTTGAGGAGACATATTCTGGGCGAAGTTGGCGAGGACGTCGATACGAGATTGTTCAAAGCAAAATTATAATACTTTGTTGTTATACGGAGATGTGGTTGGGTCTGGGCGGCACATGCAAAGGATTCTTCGAGAATAAGTCCTGGAGCATTATTATACCATTTCCCATATATTTGACATTTTTTGTGTGTCGTAATGTAATGTACAACGTATTCGAGACAAGTACCTTGCCAGTTGCAATCCCATCATTTTCTATTTATCTTGGAAAGTTCAATCTCATCCTAACATTTGGTATCGAGAATACTATACTTTGAACTAAACTGTACGTACTTGACGTCAACCAATATACACAGATAGCCTAATTATATTAATACACGATTAGCCATATTAAAGAACAAAACAGTTTTGTTGTAATTACAAGACGCTGTACATGTTACTTACTGCTGGAGCTTGTGCGGCGATGGGCACAGACAGAACACACATTCCACGATAAAAATACATAAAATATTTACTCCACTTTGAAGATTGGTGCGAATCCTTTGAGGGTCTGAGAAACGAAGATATCTAGCAAGGATTCAAGGAAAAATAAATTCATTATGCCGCGACTCGATTGAAACTCGCTTTTGACTTTGCTATCAACGAGACCACACTTACTTCGCCATTGATCAAACCTACGACTCCAATCATAATAGGTAAAACCAAAGTAGAGTCGGTGACCGATAGATCAGTAAACCATGCCACCCCACCAGTACTAAAACCCAGCTCTGCTGCTTGCTCTCTCGCCATATGTCTTAATGTCAAAGCGTTACATAAAAATAACGGAATTTGCACAATCGGAAGGATAAAGTTTTTGACGGGATGGCATCTATGCTCTTTGTACAGTGATGTCACCTTTTTGGCAATCTAATAAAATTGATCCCGATTAACGACGACGAAAAAAATCAAATTTCATAGCTAGACCGTTTAATTTGTACTCGAACCTCTTTTCTGAGCACGGCCTGGTAAGCATCATAACTTAAACCTTTAATGCGCGAATCGTTTGCAATTAATGTCTTTAACGTTTCTCTCCAAGAACTGATCAATGGTTGAATGGCCACGAGCCGGGCCGTACTTCTTAGCTGATAGATTGCAATCGGAAGGGTAAAACAACTTCGTAGAGCCAATGTCGTGAGAACTATAACCAGCCACCATGGAATGTCTAATTGATTGTGAATGGTTTCTAACAAAGCTTGGTTACTTGACATTATAAAGTTTGTAGAATCGACATTTTCAAGTGATGGATCAAGTGACTCGTTCAACGGCTGCACATCCGCGTTAGTCGAGGAAATGGCATGTGGCGTTATTATCGATGATGTAAGTGGGGTCCATCGATTGTGAGATTGATCCTGCGAGTGAGGGATGTTCCATGAGACAAATCTTCTTTTTGGTGGCGGGAAACTTTGATATTTGTGAATTCGTTTACTATATTGGACGCATCTTGTCAGTGTCCTTAATCTGGATGAAGACATTGAAGGATTTTTGTTGTCTCTAGTAACGTCATCAATTACGATGTAACACAAATGGCAGAATGTAAACGAAGAGTTTGACTAGCTGTAGAAGTAGCTTTTACATATACGATTAGCCATATTTGTCTTACCTTCCCATCTCTTGCTTTAAGCACACGAACTAATTGACAATCGAACATCGGTTGTCAATGAGCAATTTTTCATCCATTCAAGATGGCAAACGCGTTTTTATTTAGAACAGACATAAATGTTGTTGCGTAAAGTACTCTATAATGTAACATTTATCTATATACTGTATGTATCCCGTAATTAGAGACTATAATTATTAAATACCTTTTTGTTTTTTGATAACAAAAATATACTCAGCCGATACATTCTCTTCTGACTACGTTAGTCATAAGCAATTTATTATAATATTAATGGCGTTTTATTGCTACTTCCTTCTTGCTATTATTATTACTCCTTTTCCAAAGACCAGCTCATCGTGCGCTTTTTTGTCATTCGATTTAATGTTTGAGATCATAACTTTATCGCTGGGGTAAGTCCTAGCCTAAAATATTGTTGCTAAAGGCCAGACACTTATAAGGTTACAAATAGTTTGTGTCGGATTTAATCGTCTCTGTGATCTCGAACTTTTTTCGCTTCTACGCTTGGATTGCGGTCATTCAATGCATTTAAATTACCTAAGTCACTTGATTGATTTTCTGGGGTTTAACAGACGTTAAAATAATTGGGTATCTATGGGTTATGAACTTGTTGACAACAATCGGCTCAGTAAAAGCAAACCTTCTAAAATTTTTTGTCTTGCGGACATATTGCAAGACTAATTGCTTCGAATGCTGTCATAATAATAACTTACATCATTTTCCAAGGCTGCAAGAAATTTTTTATGTTTTCTTTAATTATAATTTAGAAAGGTCATGGCAACCTAATGTGCAAGTTTTTAGCAAGAATGATAGAGTACCTATTACTATTCAAGGTTGATAAGTGCATCAACAATACTGACACATTGACACAACCTTGCAGAAAGCTTGACCAATTACCAAGTTTGTGACAATATCATCACAATTGGTTTTAGTGGAGTTGTGGTAACATTATGTATAAACTTTTAACAAGTTAATATTAATATATGAGACAACTACTATTTACTATTAAACCAATGTAAACCATTTTATTCAATTTGAATGAAAAATAAAATCATGCTAAAACTGCTGTATTCCAACCTAATTAAAATCTAACCAAATAACTAGAACCTGATCCTGGAATGTTCTGCCAAAACTGCTGTTCTATATCCCAATTACAATGTTATTGTCACATGAATCAGAAAATTTGATTCTGGAGCTTTTGCCAAAGCTGTTGTTCCTGTATCTCCAATCTTATTGTTATACAAATCCAAAGAAGCCAGAGAAGAATTTGATTCCAGAGCCTTTGCCAAAGCTGCTCCTCCTATGTCTCCAATAATATTACTACCCAAATACAAAGAAGTCAGAGAAGAATTTGATTCTAGAGCCTTTGCCAAAGTTGCTGCTCCTATGTCTCCAATCTTATTATTAATCAACCTCAAAGAAGTCAGAGAAGAATTTGATTCTAGAGCCCTTGCCAAAGCTGCTGCCCCTGTGTCTCTAATATTGTTACTACCCAAATACAAAGAAGTCAGAGAAGAACATGATTCTAGAGCCTTTGCCAAAGCTGTCACTCCTGTGTCTCCAATCTTATTATTATTCAATTTCAAAGAAGTCAGAGAAGAACATGATTCTAGAGCCCTTGCCAAAGCTGCTGCCCCTGTGTCTCCAATATTATTATCCAAATGCAAAGAAGTCAGAGAAGAGCATGATTCTAGTACTAGAACCTTTCCCAAAGCTGTCACTCCTGTGTCTCCAATATTATTACTGCCCAAATACAAAGAAGTCAGAGAAGGATTTGATTCTAGAGCCTTTCCCAAAGCTGTCACTCCTATGTCTCCAATCTTATTGTTATACAAATCCAAAGAAGTCAGAGAAGAACAAGATTCTAGAGCCTTTGCCAAAGCTGCTGCTCCTATGTCTCCAATCTCATTGTCACTCAAATCCAAAGAAATCAGAGAAGAATTTGATTCTAGAGCCTTCCCCAAAGCTGCTGCTCCTGCATTTCCAATAATATTGTAATTCAATTTTAAAGAAGTCAAAGAAGAATTCAATTCTAGAGCCTTCCCCAAAGCTGCTGCTCCCGTGTCTCTAATCTTATTTTGACTCAAATCCAAAGAAGTCAGAGAAGTATTTGATCCTAGAGCCTTTGCCAGAGCTGCTGCTCCCATGTCTCCAATATTATTATTGTTCAAATTTAAAGAAGTCAGAAAAGAATTTGGTTCCAGAGTATTTGCTAAATGTGCATACCCAGTCTCTTTTAATGTTTTCTTTAGTTGAGTTAGAGAGGTTGATTCTAAAGCTTTTGCTAAAGCAATTATTTTTGTATTCCCAAGTTGATACTGTTGCAAGCTCAATGTTTTACCAAATTTTTCATCACACAAACACTTTAATTGTTTGTATACTTCCTCACCTGATGGTCTTTTGTTTGGATCACCATCCCAGCATTTTGAATATAGTTTAATGTACTTTTCTGGTGTTTCTGCAGAAGGAGGGTCTCTCAGGCCTTTCAATCTATACAAAATAATTTCAAAACTTTGAATGCGCCCTTCACATGGGATCTTGCCACTAGAAATTTCCCACAATATTACTCCAAGACTAAAGATGTCTGACTTTTTCCCTCATTTATATGATTCATTTTCAAAAGTGGCTGGATCAATATATGCTGTGCTACCTTCACCTTTTGATGTAGAAGTGGCTTGTTTTAGCATACTAGACAGACCAAAATCAGTAATTTTTGCAACATCTCCTTGAATAAGAATATTTGCTGAAGACTACACAACAAATTAAATCGGGCATTATTATAACATAATGATATTATAATTAAATCGTTATTCTTTCATACTAACATACATAAATAGATAAGACCATACCAAATCCTTGTGAACGATATCAAGCACATGCAAATACTTCAGCCCATTAGTAATGCCCAGACCTAAGTTACATTTCTCTTTCCATGTTAAATCCTTAAAACGGTTTACTAAGTATGTCCGCAGACTTCCACCATCGGCAAATTCAAAAACCATGTGATAGTGTTGATCCGCATCTGCCCGTATTTAGTAGAATAAGTCATCGATATTTACAGTTTAAATTACATTCATTGTAATATTATACTGACCTTTGCATAAACCTAAAAATCGGATAACGTTTGGATGGTCATCTACTTTCTTGTGAGCTTTTAGCTGACATACATAATATTTATTGTCAGATCATGTCATTGATTTGACAAGAAACAGCAGCAGTAACCACAAACCTCCTTGACAAACTTTTTGTACAATTCTTGCTCATCGGTGTACACTTCCAGCAATAACATCTTCATTGCAACAGTTACACCAGTATGTTTCAACTTTGCCTTGTACACAACTCCAAACCCACCATGGCCGACAACCTTACGGTTTAAGATTTCACTTTCGGAGTAGCACTTGACCATTCCATCTTCAGTTATTTTATCTAGCAAAGTCTTATCCATATTGGTTGATGTTTCATTCAATATCGTATCGATATCTGAGGTTTCGAGTCTTGTATCGATCCTCCCGGGACATTTGTATGATTGGCTGGAATTCAATTGTGTAACACTATAAGGAATTTTTTATACAGTTTAAAGCATTTTAAAAGATTTCATTTTCACATATTCCTAGACACTTGTTACAGCGTTATAAACGAAGAGATCCAGTTGATCATGCAAGTTTAGAACAAGCGATTTCGACAATCTTAGACGACAGAATGGAAATTTCAAATGCACGCTCCCAGAAGAAGCTTGTTGGACCATGTGATATTTGTGGAGCAGCCGAAGACGCTTATCATAAAGCTATGCAGCATGGAACTTTAGCTTCTACATGGGTAATAAACGTTAGTCAGTTCTGTCATAGTTATTACGTGAGTTACATTGTACGCGGTACTGCTAAAGGTTCTGAGACATCTGAGAATGTAGTTCCTTCAAGCGACGATGGATACAAGGTGAAGCAGTGACAGAGCAAGTTGATTGTGATGATGGTCAACAACAGTTAATAATGGAGACATCAGAGGTAAGTGACGATGGGAGAATCAAAGAGAATGATTTTATTGAATGTGTTAGACCGATGGCGCAAATTTTTATACAAGAAAAAAAGGTACCAGTATGTGATTGAAAGTTACTTCGGCTGGAGTTGGAGTCAAAGGATATCGGCCTTAAACCATTCCTCAACCTCCTTGAGAAGTTAATTAATCCGAGTGGTAAAGGTCTCGTGGACCACACCATCTCGCAACGGCAGAAAGGCCTCTCGTTCTTATGTTATTTTCTTGCGGGGATTGGAAACAAACATATCAGTTCATTGAAAAAGGATATTGCTAAATCATTCAGGTACGTCTGATCAAGCAATTGATACCTTATCTAACATGCAGTTGAGTTCTACGTCGAGGGAGAATTGACGTGAGAAAAATGTTATATCTTCTATTCACAGAGATAATGTGACAAGAGGTCTTGTAAAGCATCGGATGAATGCCATAATCGTTAATATCGATGATTATCATAACGAATTCACAACTACGTCAACTAGTACGGTTGCACACATGACTGCAGTCCTTGCGATCCCAATACTGCGATCCCAAGAAATGTTGAATATAATGTATATGCAAGCATACATAACCCACGAATTGTGTTGATAATAACATTTTGATCACTAAAATAGAAGATCGACTTATGGCTCTTCTTTCTCAATCTTTTAATGATCGGTTTGTAAAACAACATGTACGTTCCGAAATGATTTACTTGATAACCGTTCATTGTTACGATATACATAGACTCACTAGTGAACTGGTTGATGTTAATCAAGAAAACGTGGTTCAATCAGCAGATGATGAACAACAAATCAATTCAAATCAGCGCTCGAAAATTTGTAAAATTATAATAATAAATTATTTTTTATTAGCCAATCATATCGATCTATCAACCAATCATATTAAAACTTGAATTGACCAATCAGACAAATGTCTGGACGAATTATCAATGTTCATCAAGCTGATATAAAAACGCTTCTCATTCAAATCGAAAGATTATGAACTGTATCGGCATATAATACCCGAACTAGTAAATCAAGTTAGCATAGCAGTTTTTTCGGCATTGACTTTATAAAAGTCGAATATCGATAGCCTATTCTTTCTTAAACATCTCTTTCTCACACTTTTCAGTTTGATCTGTTCGAGCAGAGCACATGACAGAGGATGAATATGGGCATCAGTATAATTTTGAATTGCATGGATAAGCCTATTTTAAGCATTCATTTTTATATCCGTTAGCATTGATTTTTTTTCCCTTCTGTGCTAATATTCACTATTTCGTTATCATTACCATTTTCGATCCAAACGAACGGACCAACTAAAAGGCCGGTACCTTAAATCCCATTAGCGAAAAATCTCCTTAAATTTTTTGCCCCTGGTATAGCAAATTCAATTGTCATATTACAAGTGGTTCTCGATATAAGAACCCTTCTATATAAGAAATATATCGTCTAACCAATCCGCGTACTCACTCTTTATGTTAATTCGGTATTTTATGTTGATTGAAAACAGCAACGTTCAAACCTTGATACAAGTATGCATACGTTTGCGAATTGACATAATCTGGAAATCTCAATGGACCCATTATTTCCAAGCTGATATGTGATAACCATTGAGCTAAGAATACTGTACTTGGTAAGTTGATCTAACTATATTTAATACTAATTTTTACGTGCAATGTAAACGTTCTAACTCTAATATAGTAAGTGTTATAATAGAAGCGGTTTCCATGTTGGGTTATTTATGAGAAATATAAAAAATAATCAACAATACAAAGTATTATCATGACGTCAATTTAAAAACGTATTGGCGTCTGTTTTATTTTTTATAGCTTTAACATCTTTTTCTTACTATCTTGGTTGCTTATTCTACAAGTTCATTACAAAAACTTTAAATTTTGTAATTCGTTTATTGATTTACGCGATTGCGATAAAATGCTACAGTATATGGCATTTATCACTTCTCAAAAAAAAAAATGCTGTTATAATGTTTACTTTTTAATATTTTTAAATTTTTAGATCTTTCCAGAAATATCTCAAACTACGCAGTGTCAGGTAATAATCACAACTTTACTTCCGTTAGTAATAACAAACAGCATGTGCTAAACATCAACTTTAGCGTATTATAAGTGTCAATTAATTATTTTGTATTTTAATAAACTGCGAATAAGTAAAGGTTTTGTGCTTTTCAAAACTATATACTGTTGTGGTTACACCAATATTTCAGACACTTTATGCTTGTTCCGTGTGGATTGCAAAATCGCATTTGAGACTCATGGAGATAATTAGACTGAATAATTAAATTAATAACAGGTTTTATAAAATTGCTGCCGTTTACGTGTATTCTACGTAACATATTACGTAGACAGCGTCTCGGAATATGTACCAATTTTGTTTATCATATACCGTAATTGGAATAATATTTGATTACATAATTATTGATCCGTATCGGATATGACGTGTGTTTCTTCTTGTTTTTATGCACGGTTGTCAAAACCAATCGAGGTAAACATAATGTTAGATCAGATCCCAATTGTTGGATCGACGAAAGTCTCAGTAGTACAAATTATATCAAACCTAAATCTGGATACCACGCTGCCGGAGTGATATTAACATCCAAGAAGTTTTTCTTTTTAGTTTTGCTATTTTCTTTGTTATAAACTGTTACATAAAGTTATTTACCGACTTGGAAATACGAGTAGGCAAACACCATTTATTAATTTAAAACGTTTTATTATTATTGATTGCTCTTCCATATGTGAAATGTTCCGATGTTAACAAAGAAACTATAAGGGAAAGAAAAGAAATACAGTACCGTGCAATGATATTATTGGAATGTTATCGGAAACGTTCTCTTTTGAATATATGTATGTTGAAAACAAATGTTGTAAGGAATCTTATGAACTGATAATGATGGGCTGCGAGCAAAAAGCATTGCACAAAGAGAACGTTCGCCGGATTACAGACCACCACGGAGTTAGGAATTAAACGGGTCAATGAACAGATTCCTCGTTCAGCTCTTTAGTAAATTATTTTGTATGAAAAAAAAGGTAACTAATAATATTAATACTATTAATCAATTATTTTTGTGACAATACTGTTTCAAACATACGGCCAGAATCCGAGGGAGGCTGACTATTGGTGCACGAGCCGTCTACTCGGATGTTAAATGGAAAAACATAACTTTTATGTTTATATTACTACTTGCGTTACACTACAAGAAAAAATGATTGGGCAGCATGTTAATATAATTAATAATAGACTACTGATTCAAACGTGTTCCGAGTAAGCATATAGTCGTGAATTAAATATCCGAGGCAAAGCAAAGGCTCTATATAAATTGACATGCTCTCTATGTAGATAATGTCAAAAACAATTTTGAACATAGTAACAACGCAGTGAATTACTAGAGTAAAAAAGCAAAGATATATTTCATAATGCAGATACAACTAGTAAGTTTGATATTCATGATGACAATATTTATAACGGCAAATGCAAAACCTCAAGTAACCACAGCTCCATGCTGTAATTACCAATTTATTGTTGGATGTGTTTTTTGGTATGTAAGCAAAAAAATAACACGAGGTGACTTACTAAACTATCAAAATAACCGCTTATTCATTTTACTTGTCTTTTTTAAGTTACGATACAAGCGACGAAGACAGTTATTTAAGCAGTCTCTTTGGAGACATTCCTACATACGCGCCGTCTGCTCCCACTCCCACATATAAGCCTGCTCCCGCATATGGGCCTGCGCCCGCATATAAGCCTACTGCTGTACCTACAAAATCAACGGATACTTCTACCACATCTAATGGCTTCTTTAAAGAACCGTATTTGGTACTAAAAGTTGGGAGCATATGCGTAGTCTTGCCACTGAGTAGTGTATTCGTTGTATTGAGGTGTCTATGTAAAAGAAAAGAAAAGAAACCTGAGGAAAATAACAAGATAGAGATGGGTTTAAATATACAATTATCAGACAATTAAATGGTAAACGAGCGAGTGCTTTGAACACATGTTTCTGTTGTTATTGTTATTTATTTATTTATTTATTTATATATTTATATTTATATTTATTTTTATTTTTTATTTTTTTTTACCAAGAACAATTTTTCAATAAATCTGATTTAGCTACCATATTAATATATTAAACGGTAACTACATAATTATGCAAATTGAGCCCACGGACTTATATTAGTTTTAATCTAAATTTATGTACTCTCATTACTTGCTATTCGTCTCAGAAGTTTAAGCTATCTAGAAAAAGATATAGAACTATTTTTTGTCTAAGAAGAGAGTTGTGATTTATCTTATTTAGAAATGGCATAAAAAAGTTGTCAATAATAACATCCGTAACATATTGCTACTATTATCGAAACAACCCCAGACGGCAGTCTTGTTCAACATCAAAATTATTAAAAGCTCAATCAATATTCTCAAATACTACACATCTCATCCTCTATTCTTTATCCTGGCATCAATATCACCAACTTTTTCTTCGTAGTCAGTTTTACAACACGATTTTTTGAATTGACCTTAGAGCCGACAACATTTCTGTCAAATATTTGGCGACAACGTGTAGGTATTCTACTCGATCAAATTTATCCAGTTGAGCTGTGAGAGATCTTTTAGACACTTTTTTCCACTCCACTTTATAGTAATACAGCATATCCTTCTAATCATTAAATTATCGTCACGAAGGGGCTAACTTGACTATTGTATAAAGTGTCGGAATTATTGACTGTAATATTTTGTCAATCGTTTTTCTGAACAAGCTGAATGGGCAAAATTTACATCCCCTACATATGTAGCACCATTATTGCCAATCGGTTTTAAATTCAATAATTTTTACGTTCAAGTTTAAAACTAACAAGTGTTTTGTAGATTTCACGCTTAAACGTTTACACTTGATTATTATGTGTAACCACAACGTTCTGGAAGCGAAAAGGCTTTTGATCCCATGGTGGTCGGGTTAACAGCTTGATTACTTTTGGCAAACCATCCGCCTCTATGCTGACGATTAGTTTCTTTTTGCGTTAAACAACCGGTGTTCACAAAAAAATACCACAGAACATTCATCAACAATATGGAAGCTAGTTTGACGATCAAGTGTAGATGATTGGTCAAATATAACGAACTACGTAAAATAAATTCAATAAATGTCAATAAATGGACTATCGTTTGACAGAGGTGGGGAGTGGGGTTTGAGAGAGAAAAATTGCACAAATGCGAATAATTTCTATCTTTTGAAAAGCAACATTTCAAGCTTTATGGGATAAGCAGCATAACAGTTATACAATTACCACAAAGGTTCGTACGAGCTATCCTGTTTCTTAATTTATAATAACTGATAAGCTAGAGACTTTTTTTTTTAGCTAACAAATTCTAATGACTTTCAATTCATTATCATTATAAAGCTTTAGTTCGATAAATTAGGTTACAACGCGAAAACGTATGAATATACATTCGTTACGTATATAGTACCATCTTCGAACTGCAGTGCTTCATTAACAATATTGAGTTGCAAGACTGAATAAGTAATTGTTCAAACCGAAGAATTATGTTAGATGTACTGTAATTTAATAAATAAGCGTTTCGCCAACAATTTATCTACTTATTATTATCTTCTATAACTACTTTTGGCTTCTTGTTGACACGCGCCAATCTGGATTGGAATGTCGCTGCGCCGTTGTGCAACCCATGTCACTACTGTGAATGCATTGTTCATCGTATGGCTACGAAGGAATCTTTTTAGCATTATAATTTGTGTGTGCATCACATTTAGACACATAATTCTGAAACTGTGCCACATCTTTATAAGAGCTGTTCAACTCTTGTTGTTCTAACGGTGTCTCACATAGTTAACAATGTACATAAAAATGGTACTTATACCGTCCAAATATACATGTATTTTTGCTTGTTTTTAAGCTTGTTTAGAATATTGTTTTCTTAACCAATTATTAAAATCGATTTACAAGGACATTCATGATATTCTAGTTTCTGGCGATATTACTTTCTGCATGCCAAGAACAAAGACTATAAAAATTATGCGCTTTAGAAATAATTTATTCTACAAGTGTCAACATTAGATATAACCACGTAACGGTAAATGCAAAACATGCGTTGAAAAACCTACTGAATCTCACATGAACTAGCAAATATCAAGATTAACAACAGCATCACTGTCAACCAAAAATTAAAGAGCCAATCGTTGCTGAGCCACACAATTTTCTAGACCAAGTTAACTAGCTTTTATCATATAATTAGAACGAACGAAAAATACAGCGCTATGAGTCGAGCCAATCAGAGAATGCGCAAATTGAGGACAATTTCCGTGTTTTGTTCCGTGTTTTCGGGCTTCATTCGACTGCAATTGATCAAGTTGCCTGAGTATAAGTTAATCAGTCTTTTGCCGGACAAGCAATGACAGCAATTAATTCTATTTTGATATAATCTTTCTCTACTGGCGAGATTATTACTGCTGACTCTATGCGTTGCACGCTTTCGTCCTCGACAAATAGGAGCTCCAAGAAATACGTAAATTAGTGGTCTTCTAAGTTACACAACACAATGTTACATCAATCAACAATGTCTACTACCAATGGCTAGACACAAAAAGGTTCAATCTGTTGCTACGCAAAAGCGACATAACATTAGATATTAATATGGCCGTTGCGGTGAAGACTCTGCTTCCGGATAAACATGGAGATTGCAAAGAAGATTTGCATCAACAATTTGTCAAAGAGGTTGGTTATACTTTGCCTGCGTACTCATATTTACATATGGATTAACCTTTGAACGAACATTATATGTTAACTAAAACACCCACCATAAGCAGATGAACAATCATCCAAACATTATCCGCTTTTTAGGCCTATACAAAGGTATTTAATAGGTGGAAATCTCATAGATTTAATTACGACTATCTTCTCATCCATTTTTAATGTGCAGACACATCTGATGGTTACAATATGAATTTTGAACTGGCTGATGGAGGAAGTTTACGTGAGCACCTTGACAAACATTTCAATAATCTGACTTGGAAAGACAAATACAGGTTGGGCTTGGAAATTACTGATGGACTAAAATATTTACATGAATTGGATATTATCCACAGGAATTTGGTATTTATCACACATATTAATTGTATTGCCTGACTTCATACCTGATGTTTAAGCTGATTGATGGTCGTATTTTAGTCTTCTAGCAACATTCTTATTAAATCAGGTGTTGCAAAGATTTCTGACTTTGGTTTATCAAGTGTGCTGCAACAAGCAATTTCTAAATCACATGGTTATAGCACTCTAGCATACAAGGACCCATTATCTTTTAATAACGAGTCATACCAATGTGGAAAGAAATCTGATATATTTAGCCTCGGCGTAATATTATGGGAAATATCTAGTGGAAAGGTTCCATGCGAGGGATGTACTGAAATTGATGCTATTATTGTCTTTAGACTCAATAGTTCTCGTGATCCCCCATATTCTGGAGCACCAAAAGAATATATTAATCTGTATTCAGAATGTTGGGATGAAGACCCCAATAAGCGACCATTTTGTGCAAATGTTTATAAGAGATTGAAATGTTATGATGAATTGAATGATATTAACAAATCATTGGAGATTGAATCGAACGATGCATATGCATTGAAATCAAGGGGATCCGTCTTTCTGGATCTAGAGCTATATGACGATTCGCTGAACGATTTTAACAAGTCGTTGGAGATTGAACCAGGTGATGCGTATGCATTGAGGAAAAGAGCGTGCGTCTATCTGGATCTAAAGCAGTATGACAATGCACTGAATGATTTTAATGAATCATTACGAGTTGAACCAAATAACGCACGGGCTTTGAGTGGAAGAGGATGTGCCTATCTGCATCTAAAGCAACATGACAGTTCACTGAACGATCTTAACAAATCCTTGGAGATTGAA